CCCAAATGTTTAAACAATTTTTCCAAACTTTCCCCAATGATTCCCAAATTATATGAAAAAAAATAATTCCAAAATATTCAATTTGTCTGCTAACTCTACGGCGGTATATAACCCGGTTTGACACAAGTGATTACGCGGTAGATAACGCTTATGATATACCACTCGTCAATAAAAAAGTGCCGGGCTTGATGAAGGACGAAAACAACGGGGCCATTATGACCAAATTCGTTCGACTTAGGGCGAAAATGTACGCTTTGCGAGTCGATGGTAAGAAAGACACTAAAAAAGCGAAAGGTGTCAAAAGTTTATCGCGCGCACCATCACATTCGATGACTACACGCGGTGTTTGAACGATGAGATCGAAATGACCGCAGTCGTGCATAAGATCGAAAATGCACGAAGTGTACACTATTAGCGAGACGAAAATCGCTCAGAGTCCCGACGACGATAACCGATATATCGTGCCGAATTCGACCGATACGTTGCCGTGGGGACATTACCGAATATAACGTAATGTATATAATGTATATAATGTATATAATGTATATAATGTATATATGTATGTATAACGTGGTCTCGGAGGGAACAGTGCGTTTTCCGGGGCCTTCTCTCAGAGTGCTGTGACGACACCCCCCCCCCCTATATGGCGCCACGAAGCACGAAAGTTACAATAGTCCTCAAGTAAATATCGTATTGTATATGAGAAAGGATATTAATAAAGATATCGCACATGTATTTAGTATTTAATATTTTTTATTATATATATTATATGTATTACATATTTCAAACACTTTACATGTATCATTTTTATATTAAGAATAAAATACAGTTTGCACAAATTAAATCACATTGTCCTTGTGTATCTATGAGTTGTGCGATCTATCGAATCCCAGCCATTTCACGTAAACCTCGTCGCCCCTCCTGCGCAGTACTTTCTCCACGAGATACACGTCCGGATAAGTCGCGCGATGCAACTCGTACTCGTAGAACGCTCCAGCGACGGATTTTCCACGATAGTCCTCGAGTAGGTAGGTTACGGGATTGGTATGCTGCACTTTAACGATCTTAAACACCTTGGTGGTCCAATTCGGTGTGTAACTCTTTTCAAAAATTGTCTTGTATTTGCTGACGCGTACCGAGGTCAGCCAATACGCGTACCGAGGACGCGTACCTGACGTCGCCCATTTTAAATTTTGCCGGACCCGCGATCTTTATCGCGCTGTACACCGTAGCCAAGAGTCTTTCGGCGATCGCGGGGGTAACGTCGACGGGTCGCATGCCGATCGTTCGATGCTTGCGCGCGTTGTAATCCGACACGAGTCGCGATAACACGTCGACCCACTTGTAAGTTCCATTGAGCGTAAACATCTTCCACATGTTGTTTTTTAACGTGCGATTGAATCGCTCGACGACCGACGCCTTCATCACCGAATACGTGGAGTAATGATTGATGCCGTGTTTTTTCACGAGACGTTGCACGTCGGTGTTGTAAAATTCCTTCCCCATGTCGGTTTGTAGATTACTAGGGCACCTCCCGCTATCTCGAATTATCTCAGCGATAGCGTCAACTGTCTCGCGGCCACCTTTACCCTTGAGCGGCACGGCCCACGCGTACTTGCTCAACACATCGATGACGGTGAGTGTTGAGAATTGAATCTAATTCCTGGGGGATTTTAGTTACTGTGTTCCTAAAACCATCAGGCCGGATAGCCGTTCTTTAATTTTACTGATCTATGATTGTGCAGCGCCTGGTTCTCGCGTGAGCGCGCGCGTCTCTCTGTCTTTGATTAGTCGAGTCGATCTCTCTGCCACGTTTTGTTACGAATATAATAAACGTCTTTTATCAGTAGCTACTGTCGAAATTATTTACGCTGGTTATTCGCCGCCCTTATACCGTAGAAAAGAGATACTGACGGGTAGTTGGTTGAGCGTTTCTACATTTTTGGTGACCCCGACGTGATCTGTGGTGATTAACTGTTCAGCGGTTAGGTTAAGCCGTGTGAAGTCTCAAAAGTTTCGTTACGATGATTGACGGAGAAGTCGAGATGGATGCAGCAAAAGCGGCTCGAAAGTCTGCCCGTCGGTTATTTACTAGGACTGCGAATGATATTGACGATCTGTTGTCGGCAGAGGAACCGGACTGTGGTGAATTACAAGATTCTTTGACCCGACTGGAACAGTTGTTGGAAGAAATTCGTGGTTATGATTTGACTGTTAAGCAGCATATCTTGGAAACAGTCCCGATTGACGAGGCAGCATTGGATACAGAGCAGACTGGAATTGATAATTACGAGAAACGATATATCAAGACTCGAAGGAGAGTGCGTAACATAACCAACGATGGAGAGAGTTCGAAAACGTCCGTAAATTCCGTAATGGATTACAGGTCGAATGCGAATTTAGAGTTGAGAAGAATGAAGACATACAAGCTCCCGAAGTATAAACCGCGCAAATTCAATGGAGATGTGAAGGAATGGCTTCCTTTCTGATCTCAGTTTAAGAAAATCCACGAAGACGAAGACTTAGATAATGCGGACAAGTTTAAGTACCTCGTGCAATGTATGGTCGAGGAAACGAAAGCGGCGGATCTCGTGGCAACCTTCCCTCAATCCGGTGAGAACTACGATAAAGCAGCAAAGGCCCTTCAGGAGCGATTTGGTAACGAAAAAGTACTCAAGCAAGTATATATCCGTGAACTAGTAAAAATGGTTATGGCTAATGGAAGTAATCAAAGTGTGAATCTTTCCAGTATGTTTGATAAGCTCTCGGCACATTTACAAGCACTCGAGACACTGGGAGTCAATAGCGACCAAATGTCGACGTTTCTGTCTCCGATCGTCGAGTCAACATTACCGGAAAAAGTGTTGACAGCATGGCAAAGGAGTTCAAACTGGGGCAAGGATGGATCGGCAATGAATCCCCCCCAAACCGATTTACAGTTATTGATCGATTTTCTAAAATTAGAGGTCCAGTGTGAGGATCAACGTAAACTAGTACAAACGGGATTTCAAACGCAGCAGAAACCACAAAAGAAGCTAACCAAGAATGTCGCGTTTCAAGAGGAAGATGGCCCTACAGCTTCCGGACTGTTTGCTGGTTCGACGAATAAATGTCTCTTCTGTGACAAGCCTCATGAAAGCCAACTTTGTGCGAAGGCAGCTTCCATGAATCTGGAGAACCGGAAAAAGGTCATGACAAAGAAGAAAGCGTGCTATGTTTGTTTGAAGACTGGCCACGGGTCACGAAGTTGCAGAGCTGTTGTAAAATGTGTCTTCTGTCAAAGGAAGCATTGTGTGTTGCTGTGCCCAGAAGTAGAGAAGACTCGATCACTACCCGAATCTACCCCGGAGCAGACGCCTACTCAAACCACGCCTGCGATGTCTAATCTGCAGTGTTCCGGAGATGTTATATTACAGACGGTGTACGTGAATTTGGAGAACAATGGCATGCGTCGGAGAATTCGACTTGTATTTGATGGCGGTTGTCACAGATCTTACTTGCTTAAGAGCACTGCAATCAAACTTGGCTTGAAAACAGTCGGAACCTTAAACATGTGTCACATTTTATTTGGATGTTCCCGTGAGGTCAGGCAACACCAAGTGTACCGAGTCAGTATTGAAAGCCTGGATGGTTCCGTCCAGACAACGTTGACGTTATTAGACCAAGAAAAAATCTGCGAATTGTTACCAAGGGCTAACAAGCACAGAGTGATTGAGGACTTCAGGGACAAGAAGATATTCGTGAATGACATTGGAGAAGGTTCACCCGAAATCGAAGTCTTGATTGGAGCCGACAACTTCGCGTCGTTGTTGACAGGGAGAAAAGTAAACTTGAGATGTGGTCTGATTGCGCTCGAGACGGCGTATGGATGGACACTGACAGAAAAGTTAGAGGAGTATGAGTCCAACAGTGCGTCGCTAATGGTGACTTCCATGATGGCGGAGAGTGACATAACTAATTTGTGGGATTTGGAGCTTATAGGCATTCGAGAACCAGATTTTCACAAACCACAAGCAGAAAGAGATGCGGAAGTACGGCAACATTTTTTGGGGACCATCAATAGGAATTCAGATGGAAGATACTGTGTTAGGCTGCCTTGGATTGATGAGTCGAAGCAGGTGCCGGACAATTTTGAAGTTGCAAAGAAGAGGCTTGATGGTACCTGGAGAAAGTTAATGAGTATGGTGGAGCAGTATGACAGGATATTCCAGGATTGGATTTTGGAGGGAATTGTTGAAGTGGTGCCAGATGAAGAACGAAACAATCGCGGGCATTATCTGCCCCATCGACCAGTAGTAAATCCTGAAAGTCTGACAACTCCAATCCGTCCTGTATTTGACGCCTCTTGCAAAGATGGGCGTGCACCGTCGTTAAACGAATGCTTAGCTAAAGGGCCCAATTTGACTGAGCTCCTACCAACTGTATTGAATTGATTTCGTTGTGGTAATATTGGTGTCTCAGCTGACATACGAAAGGCGTTTCTGATGATCGAGGTGGCTACTGAGGACCGAGACTCCCTTCGGTTTCTATGGTGGGAGGGAGGATGTGAAGGCCATTTGATAATACTGCGACGGATTGTATTTGGCGTCAATTGTAGTCTTTTTTTGCTTGCAGCTGTAATCCAATTTCATCTGTCTAGGGTGGGTCCTGAAGACCGAAAGGTAGCAGAGAAGTTATTAAAGTCTATGTATGTAGACAACGCCTTGACAGCTGTCAAATCAGTGGAAGAGTTGAGGCGCTTCAAAAACGACGCCACCCGCTTAATGACTGAGGCAAAGATGGAACTACGACAATGGGCCTGGTCTGCCGGGGAATTAACCGGTGAAGGAATTCTGGTGACAGGGACAAACGACGTGGATCTGTCCAGCGAGTCTTATGAAAAAGAAAGAGCTCATCTGACTCCAGTGCTCGGCATGATGTGGGATCGAAGAGAAGATGAGATGTGGTTGGAGTGGAAGAATCAGGAATCTTTTGCGGTTGTCTCCAAGCGTACAATTTTGTCGGTGGTCAGTCGAGTCTACGATCCAATCGGGGTTTTGTGTCCTGTCCTTCTGAAGCCTAAGAAGATGCTGCAACGAGCGTGGTTGGCAAAGAGATCTTGGGATGAAGCTTTGGAAGAGGAATTAATTTCCGAGTTTAAGACCTGGTACGAGGAGCTATCTTACCTCTCAGCTATTCGCATCCCTCGGAACGTTACCGGAGGCAATATCGATCGTGAAAGCTGGCAGTTACATGTATTTTCTGATGCTAGTCAAGATGCTTATGCAGCGGTCGTTTATCTGCAAACCCAGGGGATTGATGGTGTTTCAGTGCAGCTGATTCAAGCCAAAGTTAGAGTAGCTCCGATCAAAAAGGTTTGTATTCATCGTTTGGAATTATTTGGGTGTGTCATCGCGGTCAGACAGGCTACAAACGTGAAGATATTTTTGGAACTCGAAGAAGTACCGACGTTTTACTGGACTGATTCCGCAACAGCCCTAGCGTGGATTCGTCGTAACGACCAGTGGGGTACGCTGGTCGGCAATCGAGTGAAGGAGATCCTGTCCTGCTCTAATGTTGAAAACTGGCGCCATGTTCCTGGAAATCTTAACCCGGCGGATCTGCCGTCACGGGGCTGTACGGCGAAACAGCTCAGGGTTTCTAGATGGTGGATGGGCCCAGCTTGGTTGAGAAATGGACCGCAGGATTGGCAGTTCGTAGTACCTTTGAGAAGAATGTCCGAGCCTTAGCTTATATCCTGCGGATTGCGGCTTGGTGCAAAGCACTAAAGAACTCCAAGCTTCGCTTAAGTGACGAACTGAGGAGCTCAAGAAAGCGGAGCTAAGATTAATGTGGTTAGTTCAGCACGAATCGTTTGAAACGGTGGGAGCGAGTTTTCATGGTCTGGAGATATTACTTGGGGAAGATAAACTGGTACGAGTCAAGACTAAACTGGTTTATCGCGACGATTTGGTGGGCCTCCGTTTTCCAATCCTGCTGCCTGGAGGTCATCCAATAGTGAGCTGCTTAATACGTTCTATCCATCTTCGGTTTTGTCATGCGGGAGTGCAGTTTGTTTTGAACAAGCTACGAAAACAATTCTGGATATTACGCGGCCGTCGTGAAGCCAAAAGGATAATCGCCTCTTGTACCGTTTGTCGCAGATTCAAGCAAAAGAGAGCTAAAGCTGTTCCTGGCACACTGCTTAGGGATCGTGTTAAGGATGCCATGGCGTTTGAAACTACTGGAGTTGATCTTTGCGGACCTCTGTACCTGAAATCGGGAGAAAAAGTTTGGATAGTTTTGTTCACCTGTGCTGTATACAGGTGTGTGCATCTGGAGTTGGTTACTTCGCTTTCGACTGAAGCCTTTCTATTGGCTCTGCGGTGTTTCATCGGACGGCGTGGACGACCATCAACTATATGGAGCGACCAAGGCACTAATTTTGTCGGTGCAAACAACTTATTCGACTCCTTGGATTGGAAACAAATTAAGCGTGACACTGCTATACAACGTATTGCTTGGAGGTTCAATCCAGCTTTGGCACCTTGGTGGGGCGGATTTTGGGAACGCCTCATTCGAACTATTAAGGATCTACTGAAACGGATCTTGGGCAGAGCTCGTCTGTCTTACACGGAATTAATGACCTGTGTGATCGATGTAGAAGCGGTTATTAATCAGAGGCCGTTGACTTGCATTACCGAAGATAGTGAGGACCTGCTTCCTCTCACGCCAGCGATGTTTCTTTGCGAGATTTCGGAAGTGTCCGTCCCGGATCTCGACCAATTGGAGAAAAGCGAACTTCGTGGACGGTATCGGCATCTGGCCCGTGTCCGTGAGATGTTAAAGGAGAGATTTCGAAAGGAATACCTGGCGGAACTTGTTCATCGTGGGAAACTGCCGACATCACGTCCAGTTAAACCAGGAAACGTTGTACTAATTGGGTCGGACAATCGTAAACGTTTGGAGTGGCCAGTAGGTAAGCTATGGGAGTTCTACCCCAGGGGCTCCGAGGGGGGGTGAGGAGCGGGGGGGTACCCGCCCGCGGGGGGTACCGCGGGGAGAGGGGGGTACCGCGTTTTCGGGCGCCGCGGGGAGAGGGGGGTACCACGTTTTCGGGCGCCGCGGGTAAGGGGGGGGGTACAGCGTCTTCATGCACCGCGGGGTGAGGGGGGTACCGCGTTTTCCGGTGCGGCGGGGGCGGGCGGACCGCATTTTCCGGCGGTTTACCGCGTTTTCCAGCGCCGCGAAAGACCGCGTTTCGGGCGCCGCGGGGAAGGGTTCGGTCCGCGTCACACGGCGCGCTCCCGCTCGCGTCATCTCCCCCTCCCTCTCCCGCGCCCGCGGCCCTGTTTGCGCGCGGTCCCTCCCTCTCGCGCCCGCGGCCCTGTTCGCGCACGGTGTCTCTCTCTGTTCACCTCTTCTTACCTATCCTCTCTCACTTGCATCATCATATCTCACTTGCTATCCCCATCATTCGCCTATCTATTCGCGTATTATTTGTCCGAAAAATGCAAGATTTGCAGTTTTGCACGTGTGCGATGAAGTCACCGCGAGACACGTATGTTCTTGAAAATGATATTGCGCCATTGACTTTCGGTGATTTGATCTGTAATACTGCTATTGAACAGCTATTAAACAGCTAAAAACAGCTATCAGTATAACTGCGATCTGTATAACCGCTACTGAACCGCTATCAAACTTTTTTTAAACAGCTAAAAACAGCCATTAAACAGCTATTGAACAGCTATCAAACAGCTAAAAACAGCTATCGAACAGCTATCAAACAGCTATCAAACAACTAAAACAGCTATTGAACTGCTATGAAACAGCTATCAAACAGCTCTTGAACCGCTATCAAACAACTAAAACAGCTATTGAACCGCTATGAAACAGCTAAAAAACAGCTATCAAACAGCTCTTGAACAGCTATCAAACAACTAAAACAGCTATCAGTATAACTGCGATCTGTATAACCGCTATTGAACCGCTATCAAACTTCTTTTAAACAACTAAAAACAGCTAAAAACAGCCATCGAACAAATAAAAACAACTAAAAAACAGCTAAAAACAGCTAAAACATTCATATTATACTATAAAGTATGTGGGAAAAGGAAATAAAACGTTTATATATACATATATAGTTTATTAAAAAAAAATCATAATTTTTTCTGGTGTCGCGACCACCAGTTAAATATTTTTAATACATTTTATAATGCGCAATTCTTAACATGTTTTTCGCATCTTATAGTATTAGTAACATCTAGATTATTTAAAGATTCGATATCTTCGTAATCTGCATCCAAAGTCTCAATTTTTAGATGTTTTCTCGCTTTATTCTCAAGCAGATCCACCAGCCATTCTCGTTTCTGGCATCCCTTGACGTACACAAGAGTCGACGTCTCGTCGCCCTCTCCAAGTACGGCCGATGTAATTAGATGTTTCGCCATGCTGTAGGGCACGTTTCCGTCCTCCCATCGTAGTCCATGGTGATTCGCAATCAACCAGGAAGCGCATGATCTGTCGGATTTCGTGAGGAAACTCCATGGCATGGGACATGTAAAAATGTAATGCGCCAAAACGGTCCCGTTTCTCAGAACCGCCACCTCCTTTACGACAAATTTCATCCCGACGGTGAATCCTTGCAGATCGACAAACGTCGGTACGATCATGACGAAACGACGGAGCAATCTGTATCTTATCGCGGTACATCAGTGTCTCTTATATTGTAATATCTGCTTATATTGTAACATCTGCTGATATTGCAATTTACATGAGTTTGCGCACTACATTAGACAGCGGGCAGTATTCGATTACGCGATCATGCAAGATGAGACAATAAGCGGTAGTATTTGCAGGTACATTTTCTTTACAATCAAATTCTATTCGCACATCCACGGTGGCGCTCTTGACAGATTCGTTTTGTTGCGAGCAATCGATGACAACAAAAGGTCCTTCCATCAGGAATGTATACAAGCTGCAAAGCGTATCGAAGGAATCGTATCCGTAATAAGTTTTACGAAAACGCGCATACATATCGAAAAGAACGGCGTATCGATTTTTACCAAAATCCAGATTCATGTCATCGTACGGATAAAATTCGGAGTTTAGATATAGTTTCACGTTGGTCAAATTATAGTCATCGAATACGCTAACATTTTGAGACATGATATTCTTGCGGCCGGTCTGCAGCGCAAAGATAACGTACCGCGGCTTCTCCAGCTGAGTCGCCGTTTTGACGGCCCACGAATGCTTGGTCGTGCTCTGCAACATGGGATACTCATACAGATCCCACGAACGGAAACTGACACTAAGATATCGCCCGCTTTCCAAGGCCCGTAGCATAGATAGCTTATTGACCTCGTTTAATGTAACGTGAGGCATTCGCCACTGTATTTTAAACAATTCGATTTCCGGCTCCGTCGCAGGATTTCCTACAATGCAATTGTTATCGCTACGCGCTCGTATCAAAATTAATTCGTGACGAGCGTTAACAACCACGCGTTTGTAATCTTCGCAAAAGCCCAGCAACAACTTGAGCGGTACGCAAAAGTAGAAGTATCCTTCCGGTATGCTCGATGTAACGTCCCAGCCAGCATTCCGCATGAGTTGAGAATCATTGTACGATAGCGATACGTAGTTCTTGATGGTACTGGTTATGCCAACGTTTCTGTTGCGATCAATCTCCACACCGTTGAGCTCGTATCAAATTTCATCAAACATAAACGCCACGCAATTATTCGCAAGCGTTGTCACAGACTCGTCATTTTTTCTCTTTATTACCAATCGTCCTTCAACGTAGAGAAAGCTCTCGCACGGCAACGTGTATAAATCCTGCTGTTGTATGGGTATTTTTATCTCATCGTTATGTCCAAACGTTGTGTTGGCGTACGGATTGTACGTGTGTGTCTCAATCTTGACGACGCTATCGTCAAAGATCGGTTCACCTCCAATGTTTAAGATATTAGCCATTTCGTACGACGAAACCCAATGATTTCAAAAATTCAATGTTCGACGCAGTGAGTTTCTTCTTTGGCGATCGGATTGTCTTTTTGTTTCTCGTCTGTTGCACCTGCTCAGCTTCGTTCAATACGAGCATCTCACGTTATCGCTGTCGTCTTCGTACATGCAGTCTAACGGTGATTTCTTTTCCGCGAAAATCAATCAATCGACCGGCCTGATCCACGACGCGAAGCGTCAAGTCCGAAATGCTCTGTACGATGATCGGAAGGTAAATGATCTGTGCAGGCGTTTCCGATATCTTATATCCTGGTGGCACGCTCGGTGAAAACTCGTGTATCGTGTGCACGTACTTGTCGTTGCTGTACGCACCCGCGGTCACGTTACACTCTATGCGAAGGATGTTTACGTTGATGATATTTAGCGGAACATCCGATTCGTGCCATTGTCGCGGCTCCAGCACGCGATTCGCTGAAAATCCCAGCAGCGATCCAATGTTGTTCGGTTTTGTAAAATTTATCCGATAAGCGCACTTGATCTCGCTCTTCATCGTATTGTTATTAGCCCGAATAATAATCAATGGGTGCGGTTCATCTTCGTTTGTCGAGACATTATTAGATTGGTCCCATAAAAGAGCGCGTTTCAGATACATGTCTATATCACGCAGTTCGTACGATCCTTCGGGAATGGTAATCTCCTTGTCGTCGTCGTCATAGTAGAATTTATTGTTCGACGAATTTACATTCGGTATCGTGTGATAGGTTTCAAAATCTGTTAGACCGAGCTCGTAATCGCCATCGCTCAAATCCACGGCGGGAAAGTAGCTTACCGCGAGGATGCTGCTCTTGCCGGTGAGCGTAAATGTCAGTGACATGTTTGAATGAATACTGAGATTAAACAGCGTAACGCCGGTCTTTAAATTGATTGTCAACCGACTGTAGAAAACGCAGACACAGTTGTCCGCAATTGCTCTGATCGTATCGCTGATAAGGTATGCGATTGTACTCTATTACATTGTTCTCTAGATACTGCGTCAATTCTCTCGGTGGTCGAAGATTGCCAAAACTGTGGCAATCGAAATATATGGCACGATCTCCCCTCTTCGCGTACGCCACCCAGTGAGTACCCGGTCCCTCAGTATTATCCAAATTCACGATACCGCTCTTGTATCGACGTATACCGCCGATCGGTAACAAGTCGCGCATGAAAATACCTCTAAAATAGGGAATGCGCATACGTTTTGCCAATTGTTGCAGTTGTACATTGGTAGTTACACCCTTGGGGATTTTTAGCGTCTCTTCGACGTTTTTTTTTTCTCGAGACTCCCCGTCCGCGTTTGTACGGAGCGAGATAAAGTCCGTGACCTTCCATGGCGCGATTGTGACGCTGCATCTCTTCCAGCTGACGTCGCGCGGCTTTGTTATCATTCACGGCCTTTGCGACTCCCGCCGCTCCGCCGACCAACGAGCCGAGAACCCCTAATAACGGCAGGATCGGTAGGATACCGCCGCGTTTCGCTACCGGAAGTATTCGCTTGGTCTTCTTCTTTTTCTTCGTTTTCAAACCCATACCAAGTTTCGTTTTAGCCTTCATGGCCGCCCAGACGGCTGTAGCCGCAGCTCTCTCTCCGAGAGTCGAATCGTTCGCGGTGACACGTTTTCGCGCTTCCGCGGCGAGTATATTGTCTGCCACGTGTCGTTCTGCGAGATCGTTGCTACGCGAGTAGGCTATGTCGTGCTCGCGACACGCCGCGTCCAATGGATTAATACCCCGATCACCTCTTGCCAATCGTGTTTCTAAGCGAGTTCCCGGTCCGCAAAATTGATAGCCGGGGATATGTAATTCGATCGGAAGCGCGTTTATCGCGCGATTCAGCAGACCTCGACCTATCTTCGGCGGCATTCGCCGCAGTTTTTTATCAACGGCGGCGGACCGTCGATGTGCGTTTGCTGACACGGCAAATTATAATGTATTAAACAGCGCCGATATTGCTGAACTTCCGAATCTGCCTTGATATGTTCGGGAAGCTTATCCCACAAATAATCTATGTGATTATAAAACTG